AAAAAAAAAAAAAAAAAAAAAAAAAAAAAAAAAAAAAAAAAAAAAAAAAAAAAAAAAAGTATAAGTTTTTTTATTTTTGAATGAATTCTAATAATGGAACACTTCTAATTTATTGATATTACTAAGTTTATTAATAAAAAAAATGGAACGATGATGTTTAAATAAACATTATTACATTTGTCATTAACATGTCTAAATACATGTGCGACCCTTCGTTAGCCAACCTGCTGTGCAAGTGGCCCTTCACTCAAAAAGGCTGTGCACCCCTACCCTAAAAGCAGTAGATAAAGTTATCAAAAAGAGAAAGTAGAATACATTTCTACTTTGCTATGAAAGGATGCACCATTAAGTTTTATTTTTTTAAAAATAACCTATACCCTATATTTCAAAAAGCAGTTTAAAATGTTAGTTTGTCATAATTTTCAGTTTATTAAATTAAATAAACTTAATCGAATTAAAAATTCTTAGTTTTATTTCATAAATAACTAACCAATTATTTTATAAGTGGGTATGTTTTAAGTATTCATGTAACAATATTTGATTATCAAAATAAGCGTAGTATACTATTTATAATTGTAAATATCATTTGTATTTTGAAGTTGTGATTATTGTTATGTCATTTGTTAATTTAATTGTATTTATGAAATTTGATTATGATACTTTTAGATAATATTATAAATTGTATAAAGAACTCTTAATGTAAGGTCTACTGTACTTCTTTGTTTAAAACTGTGAATGACAGTTTTTTTTTTCATTTCTTAAAAAATTCATTAAATTTTTCTTTCTTCAATTGTTGCTTTTTAATTTTCATTTGTTTTAAAGTAAAAAAATTAATATTTTGAAAATTAATACTATTTATACTAAATTAAATTGCAATTTAAAATTATTTAAATTTCATTCTTCATTCTAATTGTATTCATCTTTCATTCTAAATGTATCTCAATTCTGTACTTAAATTTGCTATTACTTTCTATTTGTAGTATTAATGGTGCAAATTTGATATTATCAGCATTTATTTATTCATTAAGTATAAGAATCGTAATAAAGTTAATAAAATGTTTCTCATTGGTATTTTTTTTTCTTTTGAAATTTAGTTTTTTTTTAATGTGTGCTTTTATTTTAAGCACATTTTTTACAAATTTTTCATCATGCTGGCTATTTTATTTTTGGTATCCTGTTACTGTCTAGCTAACAAAAAATAGTGCCACAAGACCAACAATATTTTTGGATCTTTTATTCAGTCTCTTTGTATCAACGTAAATGGATGTTTAACTTTTTCTTAGTTTTTTAAAGTTTAATTGTATTCATAGCTGCTTTATTCTTTAAATATAAATTTAATAAGCTAAGTAATACTGATAACTAAATTGTAAAGAGTGTTTTTACTAAAAAAAATTATTAAAGGGGAAGAAAAAAAAGGTCATTTACCAAACAATTGTTTGCTGATTATTTTAGCCCCTTTTAGTGAGCTATAGAAATTATTTAGAAAAGAGTCAATTGAAGCAATATTAAAGATATAGTAACTATATAATATAATGCTTAGCTCTAGAAAGTTAAGGAAAAAAAAAGAAAAAACATTTACTATCATTAACGTTCATATCAAAAATATTTTCGAATTGTTATAATATTTTGAACTATTAGAAAATTTTATAATTTCTACTTTCTTTTAAACCCAAAACTAGCTTAATATGATATAGCATTTGTGGAGAGAATGTTATCAACAGTGTCAATTTTCATCAATGAAAATGTACCCCCAGAATAGAGTTAACAGTTAACATGTCTTATATATTGTGAATTGGAAATTGAATAATTGCAGTGTGGTAGATAGGCTACACATTCAACAGAATTTGACCTATTTAACATTTCTTTTCCATATTTCTGAAAATATGTATAATACTTTTCTCATGTTATTTAAAATTTGGAGTAAGTCTAAAAAATTTAGGACCCCTTACATTGAGGGGCTGAAGGATGGTCCATAATTTCTACAATTTCCTTAACTACTTTTTTTGCAAAATCTTGCACAGGGGAAGCAGTTTCCAATTGTTTCGGCAGAAACTTGATCACATAAAGTTGACGATCGGTACACTGCATCAAGAACCTTAGTTTTCTTGGTCAAATAATTTTGAATGACAAATCTTTTATTTCAGTGTTAAACCAGTTCTCTTTCTACCATCCTTATCACCAAACTCAATGTAAGTGAGCTGGGCACAAAATGACAATAGGGTTGCTCTTGGTTTAGATAAAACCTTGCCCTTACAAGAAACAAAGAAAACCAGATTCATTAACAGTTAATCAGCACAGCCCTGACCACCTGCAGTTGAAAGGGGAAAATTCTAGGAAATTCAAACATTTGTACAGAGAAAAAAAAGGTTTCTTCTGAACACACAGAATGAATAAAAATACTGTTAACATTAAACAATGAAGAAAGGAAAGAGAAAAATTCCACAGAAATGGATAATTTTAACCTACAAATGAATTCCAGACTGAGTGATTTTGATATCAATAAGCAGTTGATAACATTAACTGTCATCACATTGAGTGGTGACACTAGTATAAAATTTCACTGGTTTTATTAATGCTTTAGAAGTTTTCTTGTTGTTATTAGTGTGTAAGATGTACATAGTAAGTATATTTAACAAATAGTAGTAAAAATGTTAACTGAAGTTTTAATCTATATTGTTCCTGTATAACTGATCAGAAATTTTTTTATTTAAATAAAATGCATGAAATACAAAGTTGGTTGTAAGTTTAAAGAATATTTGTAAGAGTTTCTACAATAATTAATCTTTTTATTTATTTTCTACAGCTGCTATTCGAGATATTATTACAACATATTCTTTGCCTGAACATGCAGCTAGGTTAGCTGAAGCTAAGAACAATGCTGGTAATGACATGTTACTACATATGCAACTAGTTTTTCCACTTGCTACTCAAATTCAGCAAGATGTAATTCCGAATTATGGCTTTTCTTCTGATAAAGATGGTAATATTGCATTTACATTTATTTATTATTAATTGTCAATTTTGGAGTTGTATAAATTAGCAGTTAAATTTGGAAATCATTAAATTTTCTTTTACTATAGGCTGTAATTTTTGCAAAGTGTATTATAGTTTAACCATTGTTTTAGAAGCTTCACAATAATGGAATAAACTGGAGTATGGTGTTCCCCCTATAAAAGAAACTGCTCAATTCTTCAACATACATCACAGAATAATTCATGTCCTAGCCATGATGAAAATGTTATAACTATTAATAATATTTGTTTTATTGCGTAGACATTCCTATATAACTTGATTAACTTGACAAATTAAAATTCATTTTTTGTTAGCCTGAACAACTATTATACAAAGGTGAAAGTATTTACTTAAAATTTCCCCAAAATGAATTCAGATGTCTCAGACCTTGACTCAATTTATCTATGAACATCTCCAATACAAGTCATGGTTTCAAAAATATTAAATTTTTTTGTTCATTTTGTTTAAGTAGATATCCATTTAAATGTAGACCACTGAAGATAGAATTTTACCATCTGATCTTAGTAATAATGACCTTGCATATCTTATATGGCAAGGATTGTATTGAAAGTATAGTTTTATGGCGTAAGAACCAGAATCTGCTACACTATGAAAGTGCCAGAATCTGCTACACTATGAAGAGTTATTTATATTTTATTCTTGAGATATGGATATAAATCAGATTGTGTTATTAACCACGTGTTGTCAACCAAAATGCAAAAAAATGGGAAGGTTAGTCGAGCATCTGAAGGTTTGTTTGTGGTGTTTGCTTGAAAAAGACACTTTATGTGAGGCTTGAGTAGAAAAAGGCAGCCAAACCTTAGAATTGGAGTCTCTTTATCCCAGAATGTCACTATTTAGTTTTATGAAAGTTATTTGTGCCAAGCCTGGCCTATTTAAGAAAAGTAGCTGCTGGTAACCAGCATAAAGTGATATGCTTAGAACAGGAATTAAAAAATTGAAAGTTGGTAGAACAATGTTTTTGTCAAAATAAATCCATTATTTATGAATTATGAGTAAGCATTTGCTACAGTTGTGTGTAATTATGATTTATGATATAGTAACTTGATTTTTAACATCCATTTTTGTTTGCATCACAGGGTTTGTCAAAGCGAGCATCGACAGTACATTATCTAATTCAAGTTGGCAATTAAGAAATTGCAATAAATTTTAAAATTGAATTAATTCAAAGCAAGCATGCTATGTTAACTCCAGTTCTCAGAAATCCCCCGACATAAATTTTAACCTTGTTTAATATATTTTTTGCGCTCCAGTAGCAGTTTAGTGTGTCGCTTGAAGTTTTGAAGAAGAAAAAAAGCTTAAGATTTCCCAGAATTTCAGAAAGCAATATACAGAATTAGTTGTTTTACTCAATTTTAAGTTAGTGTGAAAATTGTATTGTATTTTTTGAGTTTAAATTTCTTTACATGTTTGCAGATTTAATTGAAGAAGTTCTGTGTCATTGCTAAATTTCTGAAGCTAAACATTTCTGTAACATGCTACCTTGTAAAGTCTGTTGTCGCAGCATGTGTGACCTAAAATTATTGCAAATTATTATATATAATAACGGGAAATAATTGTTTCCAACTCCAAACAATGGGCATATGAAGTAATTTCAGTAACTCAATACAATTTTCAAAAACACTTGTGCTTTCTGTTGTACCCTGTTTATTTCCTTAACTGATTAGTTGTGAAATCTTCATGTTTTTTTTTCTTCAATATTTATTTTGTAATAATGTTTTCCTCTGCTTTTGTGTGTGATATTGATATATTTTGTGTTCTAAACTGAGAGGTTATTTGTTCTTATTCAAAGTTGTGTGTGTATTCTATGTGGCCACTTAACTCAAACTGAAGCCAATCACATTTTTTTTTTAAATTTTCAAATTTAAGAAAAAGAATTATTTTTATACTTTTCGTGATTAACAATAATCTAAAATAGTTAAAATTTAAAAAAAATATTTTTCAACTATATAAAGGTATATTGTTTTATATGCATTTAAATTTAACATTCATTTACTATGATTCCTTTTTTCTTTATTAGGTTTGTTGCAGTTCACTCAAACCATTAAAACATTAGCTAAAGAAAATCCAGATGTAGCTCAGCTATTTGAAGAATTGAAGTCATATCTTATACCTTCATTAGTTTTGCCCTTTTCACAATCAGGGTCTAGTTAGCTTATAAATTATACATTTATTGTTTTAATAAATTATTTATTTTTATCTTTTGAATGTTTGCATTTTATTCATAGATAATTGTGACAAAATTGAAATTATATCTGAGTTTTCTCAATTAACTTATTATTCAAGGAATTTTTTTTTCTTTTTACTTAAATATTATGTCACAGCATTCTAATTGAAGTATTTGTAAATTATTAATCTTAAAAAAGATACAAAGGTGATGATCAGACTGTGTTGTGATGTATGTTCACCTCAATTGCTCAAAATTTGATTATTTAGCGCAAAATTTTATAACAAACTGGAATTTTAAATTGGTTTTAGACCTTTTTAACATTAACTGTCCACAAAGTACTCTTATGTTAATATTCCAAATGCCATGTTACCTCAAAACGGCTCTTTAGTCTAAGCTCTATGTCAAAAAAAAAAACTTAATACCCTAAATGATTAGGTTTAATGATCAAATTTTTATGCAGTTAGAGGGCAATACTTAAGATTTGCTAATAAATGTCAAATGTTAAATTACAAAATCAGACTAAAGCACTTTCTCTAAACAAGTATAAGTTTTCTTTATCAATTCTAAACTCTCACTATAAGCTGTAGGGTTCTGCTTTTTATTTTCACTATATCTCTAAAATTGATAGAGTGAATCAAAAATAATTATACAAAATTGTATATTACAAGTGTTTTTTATTACTTGATTTAGTAATTATTTTAAATTTTGATGAATGTGTAATAAAAATGTTGAATTATGTTATTTTAGATGTGTAAATTTTAAAATTTAAAAAAAAATAGCTTGAATAGTTTAGAAAAGTTTTTTTTTTTTATAAAAAGTGTACTAAACACTGATGAATATACACTATTGCTGTGTTAAGTGCAATTTTGCAGCATGATATATATTTATTCTGAACACAGCATAGGATGTGCCATGTCTTGATATTATTTACAAAATAGTTCACTTTTTTTATCTCCTTGGAGTGGCAAGGTATCTAGCATTTTCCAGTTTAATTAAAAGTTGGAAGTCTAAATTTTTGAATCCTATTTTCTTGTATTTATTATGCTTTTAGTTGCTTTTAAACTAATAGTTCTTATTTTTAGAACTTTATCCAAGGAAAATACATGTAGCAAAAAGCAAATTTGATCTTTTTTTAAAAAAAAGTGTCAATTACCTTGTTTTTCCCAGAACAAAAGATTTAAAAAATAATTACTTTATTTGTAGTTTTTGCTTTCAGTGCAATTTCATTAAGGGCATATCATAAGATATAAAGTAATTTAGTGTATCGTTCTAAATTAAACAAGAAAAGAAAAATGTAATTAGTGTAGTTTAAGAAAAAGCATACAGCAGTTCTATTCTTATAAACACTAAACATGCATCACCTCATGCCACCAAGACAATTAGGTTTATTCTCTAACCTTGCACTAAAAGATACGGTGATGTATTGTGTCAGAATGATGTCCTAGATTTCAGCTTTTTAATGGGTCTTGCGTAAAGTTTCTTTTGATTAGTAACCAAAGAAATTAAGCTCTTGTTCTTTAATATATATATATATATATATTTATATATATACAGTGAAACCTCCGTTAAGTGGACATTCATGGGACCAAAAAATTTGTCCATTTATGAGAGTTGTCCGTTTACGGGAAGGGTACCTTAATAACGAAATTTAACACCGTAAATTGTTTTTAGAATATTCTCAAAGATGTAGAAATAATTAAATATCTACAAGAATACTGTAAATATCTACAAGAATATTTATTTAAACAATAAGAAAGATAAAAAAGAATATATAAAGAAGTTTGATATAAATACATAATTCTGGATGTAGCCACAGATAAATAAATATAATTTTCCTATTAGCATAGATACTCAAGTTAGACATATGATACCAAATAGGAGCGTACTGTGCTCAGTCCGTTTCAATTATTAGGTTCACATCCCCTTACACCTACTTATCATTTGATAGGGAACATGGTTAATACCTTCTTGGAAAATAAACCTCCCATGATTCACAGAAAAAAAAGTAATGCATACCTGTAAGTCATGAGGACCTTTGGAGATGATTATTCACAATTGATCAGCTATCAAGTGTCTGAATAAATGTTTCATTTATATGAACAACTCAAAAATTATACTTCTGTTTTCTTTTTTTTTTACCCCAGTTGTGTTAAATACAGTCTTCAAATTGATAAGAAAATTAAAGAAATTTTCAATGGGGAAGAAGCATTGAGAGAAGTCATTTCAACTTGAGGGGTCTCATAACCTGTGTGGTCCAGATGAAAAGATCAAAAGATGCCGATGTCAGAATTATTTCAGGAGTGCAGTACCATTTTCTCTCCTTTCTTTACAAAGATAAGGCAAGGTGACAGGAGAAAGATTGCTTTTTCGGTGGTGAAATAGCTTAACAATATTTTTAGTTATGGATAAGGCAAAAAGTTTTATTTACATGCTTTAAAAATGGTGAAAAGTTGCATTTTTTTAGCTTGCAATTTATTTAGAAAAAATAGCGTCCGATTTGTAGAGATAAAAAACAACGTTTCAGGATCAAAATGATTGTCCGCTTTGCGGAGAATGTACGTAATGGTTTATTCATAGAAGATTCCCGGAGAATTAAAAATATGTCCGTATTGAGAGGCGTCCGATTTGCAGGAGTGTCCATAACAGGAGGTTTCACTGTATATATGTAATTCCCTTTAAGCAGTGGTAAATAATTTAGGAACTATTTGGGATAATATACGAAATTTAAAGCAATGGAATTTTGACGTATGTTGAAAAAACTTCCAAGTTTTACTGTAATTAAATAATTTATATTTATCCTGGTGTCTAAATATTTATATTTATGTTGTCCATAAGTCGCTTCTTCAAATCACCAAAGTTTTATGAAAATCAGAGGATTGACTTATACACTAATATTAAAGTCTGACATCCGTTCATTATGAAATAGCAATGTAATTAAAGCAATGAATAACTATGTATCAATTGACCCTTTTTAAAAGCTTTAAGTATTCAATTATTTTAGATTTTCTCATCATATTTTCTTTACATATACAGGTTTTTTTAAGAACAATTTAAATTGCACTCAGAAAAAAAAAAATCAGGAATAAGAAGATTATTAAAGAGTATTTAAAAAAATTCAGCACAATGAAAACTTTTAAAACATACTATAAAGAGACAAATTTAAAGATTCTGGAACTTCATTAGTGTTGAATTCAATAACGTTACCAGTGTTGTCATACAGATCACACTCTGCAATAGATTCTACATCACACTCGTCCCACAAAATATAGTCTTCACCTCCATGCATAAACTTTGAAATTCTACACTTTTTAAAAGATTTTCAAAAAACATTTGAACCCACATTTTTATATTTTTGTGTAATTTTAGTCCTTGATGCTTCCACTTATTAAAAAGAGGATTAAAATAGAAAAAGGAAATTAAATCCAATATTAGCTTTTCTTTGAAGAATTATTTGAAGCTGAGAATTTTCTGGATTTTGAAAATACTTGATTTTTAATTATTGTTTTTTAATAACAAGTATATTGATACAAATTGCTTCAAACATTATAAAAATATAGTCTGGCATAGTATAAATGAGTCAAAATTTATTTTTTTTAAAACAGCTATTAAAATATTACTAAGTTTGTTTATCCTGCAGAGTTTTTGTAAGTACTTTGAATAGTTGTGAAGAATAGAAAAACTTATTAGGAAGTGAAAAAAACTTAAATTTAGATGCTAAAACAATTTATTTAATCTTTATTTGAAACAAGTTCCTCAATTTTTATTGCTTACACTCATTTAAAAACAATACAATAGAGTATCATAAGCACCATTTGTTCACATCTTTTATCACTAACAGAAGACAGTGGATCATGGTCAAACTTTTTTTTTTTTTTTTTTTTTTTTNTTTTTTTTTTTTTTTTTGTATTTCTTTTAGGACATTCAATATTTTTTTATTTTATTTCAATACTAATTTTCTTTAAAAAAAATCACTCTAAAAAAGAGTTTAAATTTATGATTCAGAAATAGCAACAATCTATGCTGTTACATGTGTTGCTCAAAGCTGTAACTTCACACAAATTTTCTTTTATTCTTGATAACAGACATACAAAATATTTTTATTGATATTTTCTCTGGAAGGAACTTATATTTTGAAATAAGTAAGATTATATGAATGTTTTCATAAGCTAAATTGATAAACTCCTTTTTCTACATTATTATAAATTGTACTTTCAGAGCACTTTAGAAATTGTTTACTGTATACATTTTAAAAACATGTATCTAAAATGTTTAACAGTACTAGATGAAAATTTTTTAGCCATTAAATAATACATTTTTTCAGAAATCTTTCTGGAGATTACTGTTTATGTTTATTTTTGTGAATTATTTACTTTTGTTTTATCAATTTGGCTACTGAGGCATTTATATGTTATTCCATGAAATGTACTTTATGGCAAAAATAATTTATGTTAAAAAAAACGTCAATTATTGATGTTCCAGAAACTTAAACTTACATTTTAACGAAAAAAAGTAAAAATAAATGCAATTAAAAAAAACATAATTTGATACGTAACAAATTCATGCTTCTCTGATCTTCATTAAATTCAAAGTATTTGATAGAGAAGTAATAAAATATTGATTCATTTCTGTTAGGCGTCCCACATTTCCTAATTGGATCTGTATGGATAATTTTTCTAATAAACTTGACAAACTATGAAGTCAAAAAAATTTCTTATTGCATAATGATTAGGTGATCAGGTTGAATTGAATTGCATAGTGTTTAATGGCGCAGAAACCAAAACCTTCTGCACTAGGCCAAACATTAAGAGTGAAACCTGATCAAATGGCACGATAAGCAAGATTTGACACAAAAGGAAAGAGCAGTGAGATGTCTCAAGGTTGTGGGACCTTGAGGGGTAATCTTGGATTAATCGACCTATTGCAATAATTTGGAACCAGATTTTGGTGTTGACAAATGTGTGTTGATACATTGGCATGAATGAATCATCACAAACCGTTATACTTTAACCGTTACACCAAACAATATTTAAAATTCTGTTAAGTTTCTAGTCATATTGGTATAAATTATAACTGCTTCCACTTCTTTTCATTATTCCAAATAATCTAAATGCCGTTTTGATTTCAATAGCTTTGATCTAAAAGTGTTATTTTGATAAATTTTTACGTAGTGTATAGAGGTCTGGTCCTATTCCCCCCCCCCCTGGTCTATTCGTCTTTTCAAATTCTCATGAACTGGTGCTTGTTTTATTTTGTTTCGTACTGAATATCTTCACTTGAAATCTAGGTTTTTTTAGAAATTTAAAGATCTTCCAGTAAAGGGAATCACAGATTAGGTTGTATAATATTGTGGAGTTGAATTTTTTAAAATTTTTTAAATTAACTAAAAATTAGTTATTGAATTGCTTTTTTTGCATTAGGTATTTTTATTTATCATGATCAAGACTTTCTTAATTATTTAAAATAAGTAACCTCTTCAATACTAGGTATTCTTTCTTAACTAAAATACAAACTAACCAAAAAAAAAACAGGGTTTAAATTATAAAGTTATAAAATGAAGTACAATTTAGACATAGAAATGAAAACTACAGATTATAAATTTCAAACCTTTAATTTTAACCATAACATTTTGTTTAAAAAATAGAGATGTTAGAAAAATACAAATGTATATCGTTAACATAACAATCATATTGTGTCCTGTTTAATACTTTGAAAGAAAAACTTAATAAGCAGCATTACAATCTATCTTTCTTATAATCTTTGAAGTACTAAAAGAAATTAGCTTATTAGCGACGTCCAGCTCTTCTGCTTCCAGTTTTCATACAGCGAGCCAAATGAAAAGCAAATCGAAGAGCACCTACTTTTCTTGAACAGTGAGGGCAGTTAACAGTAAATTTAGCCAGATGCTTTTTTGAAGTTAAACTATATCCAAATATATCCACATTAGGATTTTGATTATGCATTTCATCTTCACTTGTAGATTCCTTGGATTCTTCATGTCTTAAATCATCTTCAAGATAAATTGAATCAATTTTTCTTTTCATATTGTTGCTTTCTGCTGTTAAATCCATAGGCATGTTTAAACCTGTCGAGACTTTCTTGGTTTCTTCACAATCACTTGAAGATCTATCCTCCTGTTGTGCGGTGTTAGTATCAGGCATTTTTGAGACAAAGTAGAAACCAAAATTAAAGTTTCAGAAGAGAAAACTGCTTTGACTGTTTTGTCGCTTTAGATTAGTTTAGATTTACCCTAAAAATAAAGAAAAGTTTATGTAAATTATCTAAATTACTAACTCCCTTTCGATGGTTATGCCCACTCAAATTCAGCAACGTAAAATAGGTTGAATAAAATATACTACCTTATGAATCTGTGAATTTTAAAACTGATGCTGAATGAACAAGGAGTTTTTGTAGTTTCTAAAATGCTAAGCAAGTTACAATCAAACTAGTTAAATTTTCTTAAATATTTAAATTTTGTTTTTTTTTTTAAAAACAAACAAATCAAAAGTAAATTTTAATTTCTGAAATAAATGCAGTTCACACATAAATTTCTGATAGTTGCAATACAAATTTTCACATTTAAATTTTTACCTGTCACAAGTTATTTCCAATTACTTTTGAAATATTTTAATCTTGAAATAATTATTCAGCCTCTTAATTTTTTTTGGTAATATTTATGCAATAAATAATTAATAGTTATCATCAGATCTGCAAGTGTTACAATTTAAATTTAGGAAACTGGTTGCTTAATTCATACCACTTGGTACCTTGTAAATTGTACCAAATTGGAAAATACTGAATTCTAATTTAGTAAATAAGTAGACAATGATTAATCCTAATTGAAATTGTATAATAAGAAATGTAATAGTTTTTTTTTCCAGCTGATATATATCTATATGTTTATATACACACAGAAATATTATCAATTATAAGCCTAGAAAATACTGAGCATAATATCTACAACAAAGTTAAGGGTGACTTTTTGGGCACCATATCTTCAGCAGAATAAGCCTAAGACAAAGCAATGTTTAGGTTAAATTTTATTGATGACAACAAGTGTATTTAGTTCAGTATACAGGGTGTTTCCAAACTCATGGGCAAAAATCTATAGGGTAATAGAAAACATCTAAACAAGTAATTTTCCCCATACAATGCCTGGACAGAGAGCAAGCCGAAAACCACTAAGAGATTTCCGTTTCTGTTTCACGAAACAATGAAACCCCAAAGGGATAGAGGTGATGCAAATTAATTTGACGTAAATTAGACGATGTACGCCATTCGCTATATCACATGTGTAACTCCTGCATCACCGTTCTTTTGAGCAGTTTCTGTAATTTTGCCACACACACACTGTCAAAATTAATTTATTACCTCTTCTATATATTTAATGTTTTGCTCTTTCATGTGACAGTAACATATACTCCCTAGTGCCTCATCGATTTCACTCTGCCCATGCAGTGTATGGTGAAAATTAGTTGTTCAGATGTTTTCTGTTACCCCTTAAATTTTTGTTCTTTAATTTCCAAACACCTTATAGCCCTAACTGGTTTTGATTTCTTGCTGGTAATACTTATGTTTAATTTTAGTTAAAAATTTTTATAACTTTTGAATTAAATTAGTGTGGTAAAAATATATAAATTAAAAATTTTAGATTGGATTGACCTAACTCTTAATTTTTATTAAGTAAATTAATTTTATGTTAATTTCTAATTTCAGTTAATTTTCATAAGGACTGTTTGTTAAGACTATATCTCTTTTGTGATCAAAAAATAGTTTTCCTATTGTTATTAGGTTAGGGAATTAGAGAAATTGATTTGATAAAAATCTCCAATATCAGGAAAAGAACTCTCTGTCAAAGCACCATCAGCTAGATCAGGGGTTTCCAACTTACATGAGGGCGGGGGCCGCAATTAAAAACACCAGTCAAGTGGCAGGCTGCAACTTTATCAAAATTTTATATAGGGCTCTTATGTTTGAAGGAGCATTAAATATTATTGTCAGATTTTTATCAAGTTGTACAAACAAACGTATTGAATTACAAATTAGAAGTAGATTTTTAAGCAACATACACGATTATTTTTGTATTTGAATAAATATTTTCTTGGATGCAAAACCTAAGAAATAAATTTTTTTGCTGCGTTGGTTTGTTAAATTTCGCAGAACGAAGAAATTAGGTTTTTTTTAACGAAAGAAAAGTTTTTTAAAGCCATCTAGATTTTTTACGAAAATTGTCCGCAAAAAATTACAACTAATATATTTTAGTTCGCCGGCAACAGAAAAAGGCTTCACAGGTCGGATCCGGCCCGCCAGTTGGCAACCACTGAGATAGATCATTACTTGTTTCAACATAAGGGTTAAGGTTTTGGTATTTTTCATTGAATTTCTGTTCCTAGTTTTTAGAGAAAATAGATGTCTTATTTTAAAGAAATAATTTTTCTTACTGATTGATTCATATCCAGAATAAGATTTTACTGGCAAAAAGTTTAAAGGTTGAGAGAGTTGTGGGCCACTCAATCTTTTAACAAAGTTTTTAATTGTTGCAGCCTTACACTTCACGAGATGGGGAACTTTGTATTGGGTGTCCAGGTATAGTTTGCAGCCTTTCTTCAACAATTTAGATGAAGTAAATACAGTTTAAAGGACTTGAGAAACGACTTGTCTAGCTGGTGAAGTTAATCTGTTGCTCCTAAATTGTATTGGTACAATTTAGAACCTCACATAAAGTACAGTTCAGGGAACTACTTAGAGTTTCAAAGTATTATCTCAAAAAATATTTAGTTCACCAAGAAACATTTTAAATACGGTTGACTAGTTTAACAGTTATATAATGCATTTATTACCTTCCTCTTAACATTCGACATATTTTTACTATATGCCGTATCCTTACAGAGGATGTTCAAAATTACATTGAAAACTTGCAAAACTGATAAACCTAAATATTTTAACCATTTGCACAGCAACTTAATTCTTTTAACATAGATTTATACCTCATAAAAGAAGTTTTCTTATTTATCTGTTGATGTCCCTCCTTTGCCAATGCTTCTTCAGAAATCTGAGGTAGTATGATTTAGGCAAATTTCTTTGTATGGATTAAATTTAGGATGTGTTAAATTTTTTATATATATGAAGGAGTTTGGACACACTTTTTCAAGAGGGAAATTTTTATATAACACTGATAGTTCCATGCGGATGCTTCGCAAGTTTTCAGAATTTCCACAAGACACATAAACATTTTAATGCTTTTATGGAAATCTAAAAACTTTTTAAAAAGATATAACCTCAAACATCCAGACCTCTGAAATCCGAGCAATTTTTTCTCTCAACAGATGCCGTGAAAAAAATTAGCTTAATCAATTTTAAATTAGAGGCAAGACGAATTATATTATAGTTTTAAAAAAAACACATGAAAATTTCTGACATTAACTGAACTATTGAAATAGTTACGTCGAAATGAAATCATCGCAAATTGAGTGAGTCGAAAGGTAATTTCTCAAATGCGCTTGTCGTAATGCTATTAATACATCGGAATTAAAAAAAAAAAATCTCATAAGAGATCAAGACTTTTCGATAAAATTGTTGCAAATTGAGTGCTGTGCTAGAAAGTAATTAATCAAATATGCGATTTGTATTTAGCATGGCTTAAAAATATCAAGATTTTGAAAACTGCGGTAATCTCTATCGATTGCTAATGGTGTGAGTCTGGTTCGATTCCGCACCCGCCTCGCACCGACCAGTGCTGACGTAAAATATCTTCAGTGGTAGACGGATCATGGGTTAGCGTCCGCTTGGTGTCAGGCTAACCGTGGAGGGTTTTCGTGGTTTTCCTCCCCATGTAACGCAAATTTGGGTTAGTTTCATCAAAAGTCTTATAAAACGCAATTTCTCCCAATACTTGATCCAGAAGTTCCCTTCTCTTCTGGATTGGGTTCAAAATTACAAGGTTACGGAGTTGAGCATCAGTAGCCGTAAGCCCTAAATTGCGTCGGTTGTTCAACGACGGTAATGTATCAACAATTGCTGGAAAAACAATCCAAAATTCACGCAAATTTATGATGCAATAGATGGTTTCGAACTTACAAACAATATGATGAATGGAAGATGTTATTTGATGCATAGCTTAAATGCGCGTGTTGTACTAATATTGTAATTATCGAGATTTCAAGAAATATGTAGAAATGCTTGGTAATAATCGTAGTATATATCACCGTGTTAATCATCGCGAATCGAGAGTAAAAAAGATCACTCAATAGCAAATTAAATTCGGGTGTGGTAATGCTGTATTAAAATATGAATATTTTAAAAACCATAAGGAAACTCATAGCAGAAACGAGTAAAAAACCATGCGGATTTACGAGGGAAACCAACACATTTTAAATAATTTTGGACCCATCTCAAACTAGCCATCTCTGCAGCTAAGATATAAAAATTTCAAAAATATATTTTTAGGGAAACAACGAAATTACTGAAGTATGAACTGTATCAATTTTAATTCAATTTTAATATCAAATTAATTAAAAATTTGAACTAATCATAAAAGCTTCATTTTAATGATAACTGAACAATAAACACATATTTTCCCCTTTCTTAGAAATTTCTAAATGTCTTATTTTATCGTCCTTATGTAAGTTTAAAAAGTGCTTCACAGCTTAAGAGTTCACAATTTATTTCATCTTAATGAAATTTGCGGGGATTAAAAGTACAAGTACAGCTTTACTAACTTGTAAGAACATGAACATTAAGAAATCACTTGCAAGCATATGCAGAATTCCTGAAATTACTAATAAGGAAAGATGACTAAAAGCACCTAATTGGTTACTCATACTATGCAATTCTTATGTATATAAACTATTTCATTGCTAGTTAGAGTGGATCGAATTAAAAAGCCAACCTTTTTTACTAATATCTTTCCTTCTTTTCTTATCTATATTATTTAAACTTTATTATTACTGAGCAGAAAACTTATATGCCTAAACAATTTTGTCTCCCCCCCCCCAACTGATATTTCACTATCAGTATGAAAATTATGTTGTGAAAAGTGTAAAATTGACCATTTATTGTTGGTTACTCATTTAGGTGTTTTAAGTGCTTTTAACTTTTTTTGAGGATTCTGTTTCATTTTTATCTGCTTGATTTTTTCAATTTGATTTTTTCTTATATGTATCAATCTTTTTGGTTTTGATTTTCTTTACTGTAATTTTGTAGTGTTTAGTTCACTTGACAACGGGTGAAACCCTTATCCAAAAACTCCTTCGGGGGTAGATTGGTTACTTATTAGTCTTTCACTTCAGTGAATTTTGCAGCTATGTACTAAAATTTTATTATAATAGATTATAATATATCATATTTTATTTTAATATAAAGTAGATTCTCGTTTTAACGATGCTCGTCGGGCTGGACAAAAAAGTCGTAAATAACGGGAGGTTGCTATATGGGGGACATGAAAATTCCCATGTTAATCGGAACTGATGCAAAACTGTTTTTTCTGAATCCACTAACGATAGTCTTTAGAAACTCTTTTTCCACTAGTGCACTGTGGGCCAGAAGACTATGATCTCTGGCCAAAAGTCAAAAATTAAATTTTCAACTAAAATATGTGTAGGCAGTTTTAATATAGCCCAAATTAAGTATTCATAATCATTCCAAACATTATAATTTACTTTTTGGACCGACAAGAGTAGAATTTAATCAAAAATATGTTAAATTTTTTTTTTAAAATGTAACTTTTAAATTTTTATTTCCGAAATATATATAGAAATTTCACCTTTCTGTTGCATTTTTATCAGAGTAATTAGTCTGAAATTATAGTAAAATTTCTCAATTTGTTGGATTAGTTAATACTCTTGACAAACTTATAGTTTATATCTTATCATTTGACAATGTTTGAATGACTTTCGAAACTTAGTTCCAAAAAGTTCCACGTGGTAATTAGCTAAACTTTTTTGTTGTTGTCCTCTTTGATGTTTCCTCTTTCGAAAAAACCTGCCCCATTTTGCCCGTATTGCAAAGGTGAACTAAATATACTGAAAAACGAAAATTATGTTTTTTTTTTCACGTTTTCGCGTTATTTTGTAATATTACTTCGAAAATAAATTTTTTTTTTCATTTTTAATATAAAATTACGAAAATTATTATATTTTCATTGCTATATTTAATTATTTAAACGTACTACTATATTATTATTTTTATTTTTGCTCGCCATATTTCAGCCGCCATTTTTTGGGGGGGAGGGGGTATTTTTAGTGTATTTCGAAATTCAATTTATCTGCACAGAAAAACTCCTAAATAAAAAAAACCCAATTTTGAAATAAATTTTATCGAAATACTAATTTTGGCAAACGAAACCTTGGATGCTGGCCCACTGTGTAGTGCGATATTATGTTCAAAGCTTCTACACATTTGTTTTTCTTTTTATAGGATATTAGAAATTGTACAATATTCCAACTCTACGGTATTTCAGAGAAATAGTATTAGAGAACGCTCTATATAACGGAATTTTTTTACATTATTGATAGAGGAAAGGGTACTAGGGGCACTCAGCTGAAAAGACGTTAAATGCGGGACATCGCTATTCACGGGGGACGTTAAATAAAAGTTTTATTGTAATATAAAAGTGCACAAGGTAGAAAATTTATTAAATAAATTTATTTTTTATCTAAGGTGGATAACTCCCAACCAAGGCATAATACAATTAGATAAGTCAGTAACAGAAAAAAAGTAAAACTTCAGCAACAAACTAAGGTTTAAATTGAAATAAAATTACGAAATTGATTTAAGACATATGTTATAAAAATTCTGGTAGATTTATTAAGATTTAAGTTCACACTAACTGGTAAGGTAATTAATAAAATTAACAAGACTTATTTTTTGAATCAAATATGTATTTTTTAAAACTACAATAAATGACACTATGATGTATTAGTTACACACTCTATGACCCGCATTTAATGTCAGCATTCAAATATTATGTTTAAAAAATATTAAATCCCATTGTAAATAAAATACATTGTAAACCTGCTATAGTGGATTCTGGATATAGTGAACACTTTGTTGTAGCGAACATTTTTAGAGGTCGCGTTTGAATTGCTGTTCAGCTAATGTTTCAGGTGCTTATAATGAGTAGCTGAGAAATTGCTGTTTCATTTATAGTTGGGTCAAATTTCTCTTTTACAATTATTTAAATGAATGATACAGAATTTTTAATCTATGTGGCAAGTTCAAAAGTTTATAATTATGACTTAAATAAAAATTAGATTTTTATATTTTATAAAGGAGTGTTTAAAATTAGTCATCTCACTGAATTTATTCCAAAAATAGACACATCAAGGAGCCAATTAGTGGCACAAAAATTAAAACTTCTAATTGCAACTTTCGTCAAAAACGGTGGAAATCAAAAAGATGAACATCTAAGAAAATTCGTTATAGGGAGACAACTACTTCGTTATATGGAAAAATTTTTGAACGTTTTTGAACGTTTTTTTTTAAAAAATAAATAAATAAATCAGAGGAAGAAATTCCTTGTAAAGAAACTTAATTTCAGAGCACTCTGCATATTTAGTTAGTTACTAATTTATAAAGCAAATTATGTACTATTGCAATAATTTTTTCCAACAATACTACTGGATCCATAATGAATCATTGTTTATTATGGACTTAAATCAATCAAGTATTAAATCAATTTCTTACATTAACTAATATATACATTTTCTTTGTTTAATCAGTTATTAGTGGATTACAGAAAGAAGCTGTTAGCATCATGTAACAATATTAACAATGTACCCCCTCTTGAAATCACTGTTTCCAACAATACTACTGAATATTCATAGTGCACAATTTTTTAATATGGGCTTATTGCTGGATCCATAGATGGTACACTATAGCGGTGTTCGACTGTATTAGTGAAGTATTAAACTAATTTCTTACATTAACAAATATAAAAAAAAATTTTTAATCAATCAGTGGATTACGGAATATTTTACGGTAGATTACTGTAAATTTGTTTAAAGCTGTTAGCATCATTTAACAAATCCTAAACGATATCATATGATCCTTTATGGCAAATCATTAGAAACAAAACAAATTTAATTCTTTGAAAATTTTAATTTATAACTTAATTATTTTTTCTCATTTAAAGTCAAAAAAATCCCAAAAATCTTTGAAATCATTTAAGTGAAACTTATTTGGCAAAAAATTATTTTCTGAAAATTTGCATGATTTTTAAAACTAAGTATTTAAGAAATTTTTTAAGACATGTTCTGACAAATTTGACAACTAAATTAGATTTTATTTGATAATTAAGTAATTTTTTAATAACATCTAACCATATTGTTTCCATTAACATCCAACCATAGTGGTCGATTTTACAATATGTTATACAGACAACATATAAATTACAACAATTTTATATTATTTTTAAAATTAACAGATGCGATAAATATTTATAATAACTTTGTTTTTATATTTAAAATGCATAGTAAGAAAATGTATGAATAATAAAAAAATTACTTACTAAGGACAGGGATACAGAAATTTAATAAGACGGGAAATCAAAACTAAAGGCGACTGCTTCAAGTGAAAGGTTTAGATAAAAAGACTCAAGTTTAAAAAAATAGCTTAAATATAAGCGTGATTTCTAATCACGTGATACAAATGCACACATTCTATTGGCAATCAAGCTTCAACTGTAATAGTTATGTAAAATATATCCGTAAAATTGAGAGATTTCTAAGAATTAGTCAAAAGCTAGAATCCTATGCGCTTGTTTCAGTGCGCGAAATGTTTATTTAATCTTTTTTAAATATTATTTGAGTTGGTCAAAAGTATCCTTTATTTTTATTTGAAATATTGTTAAAGGATTATCCGTAAAACACGTCTACCAAAATGGAATAAAATTAAACTTCTTTAATCATTACTTATCAATCTTGTCATTTATTTTATCCTTCCGAGATTCAGCTTTCAATATACTGAGCAACAATTTCATATAATTTTATCACTTAAAATATATTTTAAGATTTTTTTAATTTTTATTTCTATGCCTTTATAAAGCGATAGTCTTTGTAAAAAATATAATAGGACTCGCACACTTTGATCGGAGTTTTTGATTACAATGAAAAATTATAGGAAAGTTTTGAAATTCGATTAAAGTAAACTTTAAGATAGTTTTATTATTTATATATACGTTATTGAGTTTAGCGGATTTTGCTTCATGACAAAAATGTGTAGAAATACATAAAATTATCTTACAATATGCAAAAAAAGGTTTAAATTTATTTCAGATTTAGATAATTTTAAAATCTTTTACTCACATTTTTTTTTGTTCTTATATATTGCACTTCAAATATTTTATAGTACATTGAATCTATGTACTATAATGCATAATTATATGTACATAATTAGTAAAATAAACTAAAAAAGACCTTATCAAAATTTTGAGATGTATGAAAAATATATCACCTTAAAATAAAAGCTCTTTTTTTTGGGGGGGGGCTTATGTTTTAGCTTCCCCAAAGAGGCCAAAAACAGCTATTTTTTAGTAAATTTTTATTAGAAAATTATCTATGTATGACCACGATATAATATTTTTAACAATATATTTAACACTACCCACTCATAACTAGCCTTAAAATTTTTACACTATTTGATTATTGTGGTTTTTTTTAAAATTTTTTTTATTATTTATATCACTTTTTTTACAGATAATTTGAGTCTTTAATACGCAAGTAACAACAAAAAATATGAAATACGCGATACAGATAGAATCAAAACCTCATAAAATCATTATTTTATTTGTAAAAGAAATTTTTTTGTTTTCTATAGAGTCATTTATAATGATAAAATTCTTAAAAAAATACTTAAATCCTTATAAAAAAATAGAAAGTACATACATGTAAAAACAAGTAAAAATGTAAATATCCTTTATTTTTTGTTTATATAAAGACCATGTGTCTCGAAATTTGCCATGATACTATCTGTCATAATTAAAGACTCCACAAATCATTACCAATCCTCTTCCTATTTGTTGATTGAAGCATTCCTTCTGTTGCAGATGAAATTCTTCCAATAGAGTTACAGCCATCCAGATGTTTAAAAAATTATATGAAAATATAATTTTGTTCCACTCATCATCCGCATAATATTTTTAGCTTATATCAGTCTAGTTTCGATGATATTTCATACACTTCAGTGTTTTCTACATTTTTATGTCTTTCTCATTAGTATCCGATAAGACTCTTCCTTTCTGTAACATGTGAAATGTTAAAAGATACAGCCCTAAAAATGGGGCTAGTTGCTTGGCTGCGCTTTTGCTGGACAATTTTGAAACTTCTTAAACCTCAGTGTTTTCTTCATCTTAGACATTTTGCAGATTTATTTGTTATGAAACTCTTCAAATCAGTAACATAATTTTTCGCTGAAGAGTTTTGAAACTTCACTTGTTTATTGCCGGTGAATTTATCGATCATTCCTTGCCGTCGAAATCATTTTTCATCCAGATTGTCCTCGTATTACCACTCCTCTTATTACTACTCCTTAGATTTACTTATGAAATTATGAATGGCAGGTTTAAAATTCTTCAATAACCAAAATATTTTTGTTTCAGATTTATCTCCACTTTGCGACTTTGATAAAATGAATTTTATACACATCTCACTCAATATAAATCTTTATATATCCCACGATATCTTTTTAAAAATGGTTAATAATGTAATCACAACACTTGAAACTTCGACTGCCAGGTAATGCTTTCAGTAAATGCTAGCTCATAGCTCAAGAGGTCGCCATACCAAGGGAGAAACTTTTCGTCGTAAATTCTCCTTCACCTCCGTTACTAATTTAAAAGAAAGAAAAAGTGAATTCAGGCAAACCTAAAGTCATGAAGAAAATTTCAAAATATCAAAATGCAAACAAATTATCGGAAGAGAACTTCTCAATTGCGTATTCCAGAGTTATCTTCTTATAATTTATTTTAATTTTGAAGCTTTAAAAATTTCTTTTCAGTAATTAAAACTTCATGGTTTACTCCAGGTTTGTCCGTACTCTCTTTTTCTATACTTTAAATTAGGTGAAAGATGATTTGCGATGATAAGTTTCTCCAGTGCTATGGCGTCTTCTACATTTTATAGCGGCTTTGATTTGATGCAAGATAAGCTAATTTTTACAGGCTATATTTTAGTTTCTTAGCAGGGACATTCATTTTTCAGGAATAAAGTTTAGAATGACATGAAATAAGTACATTTTTAAAGTTGCAATTAGGCAACTATGAATGCTAAAATTCACATACGTTTTTTTCATCATAATAGACCCGAATCGTTAGTGATTTTATGTAGTTACTCAAATCAAAATAGCCGTAAGTTTTGCTAATTATGATCAAGCACATCTGTCAACTAAATCCGTCGAAAAAAAGGTATGTTTATTCAAAGAAAGTACGTTTTTGTTTTTGATTTCGTAACTTAAAATATCGCATTCTATTTTTATTGCGACTTTTATTTTTCTTCTTAATGCTAAAACGTGAGAACTAATTGAATTTGTACTTTTTACATAAATAAAGAGATGTAAAGATGCTATTATAAGCTCTAAAATATTTCACAGCTTATGCTGCATGCTCCGTAAAGATTGTGATTAATATGATTTTTATAATCATTCTAAAAATTAAACAAAAAGTATAGGCATTAGGAATTGCAGTACAGGAAAGTAGATGTAATAAGCAACAAGACAGGTCTGATAGCAGGAGAAAATAGGAGTTGAAAAACGTTTATTAGAATCACGTTCAAGATTCCTCTTTCAATTAAACCCGTTTTGATATTTATTACCTATGCATTCCTCTACTGTAATTCGCCATATTTCGATAACGTTTTTCCTTAACTTTTTCTTATCTCGCCTTAATATTAATTTGTCACTCGAATGTTCATGCTGTTAAATTTTCATTTTTGATAAGGACTCAAAAAATTCACATTAAAGGTGGTCTTTATAAAACACCTAAGTATTACTATATACTATTTATAACTATTTTATAGTATGGACTAGTATATTACTGTAAAACAGTTTGTTAATGAGAATTGCCTTATAATGTTAGATTTTCTTAATAGAACACAGCATATTTTAAAACTTATTATTTTTTTTAAATTTTATTTCGTAAACCCTATCGTAAGCTTCTGTTGTTAAATACATCTTTCAAAAGTAAAAAAAATTATAGAAGTTCTAATTATTAGAAATAAAGTTTAAAGCTTTTGTTGTTTAATTGAACAATAGGACATGAGACCTTTTTCGGTTAATGAAAAAAAAAAATACCCTTAAGATTAGTTGGTTGAAAACAGAATTTTACCAAGAGAAAGTTACACTACAAAAAATACAAATAGAAAGCTTATTTTCTATTCAATGTTACGAAATCAAACTGTACTTTTAACTAAGTCTGACGCAAGAAAAAAACGGAAGAATAAAAAGAACATTTGGGTTCAAAGATAATTTTAAACATTAATTTCTCAAATTCGAACCACAAAATGAAAAATTTTCCACGAGAGTTCATCTTTAAAATGGTGCTAAACACTATATTTGAGTTGCAAATTTTAGAAAAATGTCAGTTAAAAAAGTAAATCTTTTCCTATGAAAACAGGCCTCAACTTCTAATTTTACTAGGAACACTGCATGCGTCAATTTCACCAATTTGCACAGCGAAAACTATAATTTAGAAAAAATATTTGTGATAAATGTGTCCATCTTTAAAATAGATCCTTACTTTGTGCTGCAGTTAACTTTATCTAGAAAATGACAGTAAAAAAGATTTTTTTATGTTTAAAAATTTGTTTTACACACCAGGTTTACAAGCAGTGTTGTAGTTTTGCCCTCAAAACACAACTCACCTGGAGTGTAATTTATTAATCGGCGGCCTTTAACGATTCTTTATTTCAGACGTTTTCCTCTTCGTTGTGGCTGGTCCCACTTATAATACAAGCTTTTATTTCTTTTAAAATTTGTTATTGGAATTTAAAAAAAAAAACTCAATAATCAAGCTTTCTTCTTATTTAAGAAAATGTCAAACAGAAGAACGCGTCTTGAAATGCCGCTGGATTAAGAAAAATCGCCACCCGGGGGTGGAGGGAAAGAGGGTGAAAGAAATTCAAATTAAGACATTTGCATGCTTTGTTTTCTTTCCAATATAGAGAATAATTCTAGAAAAGGAATAAATCCCGGCGACTGGTTGAAACTAATTTTGCTCTCCCACCGACTACAGTGCTGACTAATCATGGGTTAGAATCCCCTTGCCGGCGGGCTAACCGTCAAAGGTTTTAGTGATTTTCCTTTTCATATAACGCAAAAGTGGGTGAGTTCTATCAAAAAGCCCTCCATGGAGACTAGTTTGTCCCAATGCTTGACACAGGAGTTACCTTGTCTGCTGGATTAGGTTCAAAATTACAAGGCTACGAAGTCTAACATTGATAGTCGTAAACTTAGAGTTTGATCGGCTGGTTAACGCCGGTAATATAAAATATACTTGTATTATAAGTTCAGAAATTTCCACGCAACCAAATACGCATAGTATTCGATAATAATTATTCTTGAACTGTGATGGCTCAGGGGATAGAGCATTCGCCTTCCAA